AATGCAGGAAAACATCCCTTTATCCAATGGTGGTAGAGGGTAAGGAAGAAAGAAAAGAAGGCTCTGCACTCCAGGGTATAGTTTTATTTTATGCAAACTATCCCTAGCAGACCATAGAGGGTATTCATTACATTTGGGCTAAAGCCACAGTGAGACTCCAGCAACTTCTTTCTCAACTACTGTCCATGTTAGTGATCAGGGACTTCTGCTTCAAGAACACGGTGATCTCACACTGAGAATTCAGACGAGGATTTGGGGTGGCTTCTTCAAAGAAGGCTGGGTCATGAAAAGGGACAGTGGCCTGTTTGCATATCTAGGAATCTGAGGCTCAGCTTAGCTACTTTTGGACCATAACAAGTGCCCTATGAACTTGTCTCCTTTGGAAGGGGGGTTACAGTGAGGGATAGAGGGTGGTATTTTCTGTTGCAGTTCACTTTGAAAAATGCCAATCTTGTTTCAGTTCAATGAAGAGACAAAGAACAGACTCAAACAGAGTGCAAGGGAAAAGCCCAGGGAGGTCTGATGGGGAGGCAGCAGTGGCCAGCCTGGCTAAGGGATGGGGAAGGAGCCAGTTCAAGTTGGGGAGACAAGAGTGAAAACTGGAAAGGAAAGAGGTCAGCTAGAAGTGCTGGTTCCCATAGTCTACCTCCCACCCTGAGCTTGTTGTTTTTGTCAGAAGCTTTACTATGCCATATAGGTGCTCTCTTTAACGTTTATTTATTTTTGGGACAGAGAGAGACAGAGCATGAACGGGGGAGGGGCAGAGAGAGAGGGAGACACAGAATCGGAAACAGGCTCCAGGCTCCGAGACATCAGCCCAGAGCCTGACGCGGGGCTCGAACTCACAGATCGCGAGATCGTGACCTGGACGAAGTCGGATGCTTAACTGACTACGCCACCAGGTGCCCCTAGATGCTCTCTTTAAAAGGAAAAACGTGGGAAGGTTATTTGCTATGCTCAGTTTAGAAACACCTGAATAAAGAGACCTACCAATTAAGATGTCATACCAACTGGTGGGTGGGTCCTTACAATCATAAAAGAAAGCCATCTAGTCACCTTCTGGTCCTATAGGATACATGGCAACATTTATGTGACTAGCATGGCATGGGCAGAGAATTAAAATGATAAGTGAGATGTGTGTGCTAGAGGGCCTCTTAAAAGGAAATACATCCCACATATTAAAAAAGTAGCATCTAGTCTTAAAAGCCATTACCTTAGTACACCATGTACAATTACAGAAAAACAAAGGGAATGAGTATGGAAAACCTAAGCAGGCCAGAGTGGGTGGGGGTAGCAAGAGTCCAAATGCAAACAACGCTAGGAACAAGAAGAATTCTTGTCCACTTTATTTTTAAAAAATGTGTTTATGTATTTTGAGAGAAAGAAAGAGGCAGAGAAGGAGGGAGGGACAGACAGAGAAGGAGACAGAGAATCCCAAGCAGGCTCTGCACTGTCAGCACAGAGTCTGACATGAGGTTCAAACTCACGAACTGTGAGATCACGACCTGAGCTGAAGCTGGACAGTTAACTGACTGAGCGCCCTCAAGGCGCCTCTCTTGTCCACTTTACAGGGGAATTGGATGTAAAAAGAAACTGAGAATGAAAGTATAGTAGTATGAAAAGAATTTGAACATGACTATGAGAAAGTGAGATATGTATTACTACTTAAAAACTTTTTTTTAAAATGTTTATCTTTGAGAGAGATGGAGAGACAGAGCACAAACGGGGGGAGGGCAGAGAAAGAGGGAGACACAGAATCCGAAGCAGGCTTCAGGCTCTGAGCTGTAAGCACAGAGCCTGATGCACGGCTTGAACCCAAAAACTGCAAGATCATGACCTGAGCCGAAGTCGGATGCTTAACCAACTGAGTCACCCAGGCGCCCCAAGATATATATTATTAAGCAGTTATTTCTGGTATCAATTTCCTTATGTGTTAGTTATGTGGTTCCCACCATTAAAGTAAATAGAGTTGAATGTAAAGAAAATAAGAGTATATTTTTTAAAAACTGTTTATTTTTGAGACAGCAAGAATGCGAGCAGGGGAGGGGCAGAGAGAGAGGGGGACAGAGGATCTGAAGCAGGCTCTGCGCTGACAGAAGCAAGCCTGATGTGGGACTCGAGCTCACCAACTTGTAAGGTCATGACCTGAATCAGTTGGACACCCAACTGACTAAGCCACCGAGGCGCCCCAAATATATTTTAAAGATGTTTCAAGAAACAGAAGAATGGAAGTTAAGCAGGGAAGCTATAAGTAATGTTGTACAGAACAAAGTGAATTACCGCTAAAAGTCTAAGGCAGGAAAAATAGCGTTGGCCTAGAGCAGAGACTGAGGAACAGATGACAGACAGCAGACTGGCCTCTGAAATGCCACAGCAACAGGCTCTTTCAAGTTAGCTATCCATGACCTGGGGTGGGCCGGGAGGGCATCTACTGTGTAAACAAAATAATGAAGGAATTTTGTTCAAAGAAAAGGGGAACAAGGAGAAAGGAACTATGATCCCAAGATAGCAGAAACAATGAATCCTATTTATGTGAGAAAGGAGCAAGTCAACTAACTAATAGGGTATATATGTGAAAAGAAGAGGACCCAACAGGTGGCAGAAAGAAAACAAAATTTATTACACCATGTTCTTAATATGTCAGTGACAGTGGAAACTGGGTAAGTTTGGCTGCAGAGAAACAATTTTGAGTATGCAAATGTAACAACTGTATAACTTAGTGTAAAGTTCAAATATGACACTAAATGTGAAACCATCTGAAACTGTCAAATCTATGCATCAGTCAAGCAGCATGGTTACTGGGGACAATGGCCAGGCCTGAGCACCTATAATCCACAGAAACATTTTTAAACCAAGTAGTCTTAATGATCCCCCAGGGAATTCTGGCAAATGTTGCTAACAGTGATATAGCTAACAACTGCTTGACCTGAATTAAAAGCATTTTAGATTTACCTACAACCCCCTTTGCCAGAGGCCATTAAGGAGAAGAGTGATCACCGAAGCAGAAGAGAGAAAAAGCAGAAGCCATAAATAATCTATCAGCTGGGGCACTGGCACCTAAACAATTAATATCTGATTGGGTGGACAAAGCGATCACACACCCCATAGTTGACAATACTCTGTCTTCATGTACCTAACATTTAATTACTTAAACTACAAAATTACCTATTTAAGAATGTAGATGAGTTCCTAGCAGAAAGAAATTTTGGGTCACTTGAGACTCTTGGAAAGTTAATGAGTTGTTGGTTAAAACAAATATTGTGAGTACATAAGGAAGGAAGGAATACAGGTTAAAAATGATTTGCAGAAAGAATTTGAAATGAATGAAAAGGTTACATGGTATTATACATAAAGTAACTTCCTCACTCTATAAACAAATCAGACTGAGAACAAAGGGTGATATGCTACATTAGGATTTATTTGCTGGTGGTTGTTTTTTTTACAGAAATGTGGAAATGTGATCACGTTTTACAAAGTATTAAACAAAGAAAAAGGGGACAAACCAAAACCCAGACTCTTTAAAAAAATGTTTTTTAAAATGTTTACTTAATTTTGAGAGAGAAAGGGAGACAAGAGGATCCCAAGCAGATTCTGGTCTAACAGCAGACAGCCTGATGTGGGGCTCAAAGTCACGAACCATGAGATCATGACCTGAGCCGAAGTCTGCCACTTAATCTTAATGGACTGAGCCACCCAGGTGTCCCCCCAAACCAGACTCTTAACCACAGAGAACAAACAATGGTTATGAGAAGGGGATGGGTGAAAGAGGTGAAGGGGATTAAGAGCACATTCCTCATGATGAACACTGAGTAATGCATAGAATTGATGAATCACTATATTATACCTGAAACTAACAGAACACTGTATATATGAACTAACTGGGATTTTTTAAAAGTATGTGATTGTTTTTACATTCTTCTTGCATATAAAGTTTAGACATCTTCAAGAAGTGAGAGAGGTTAAAAAAAGCCTTTGGATCTGCAAAGTTCATAGAATGTAACAAAAATAATAACTTAGCTTAATCAGCTTTGATTAAAAACTCATTAGCCATGTGCATTTTTCTGTATGTATATCATATGCCAATAAAAAGTAGAAAAAAAAATTACCCCTCATTAGCTGAAATACAAATGAAACTGTCAAAATAAATCCTGAAAACCAAAATGTTTTGACAGGGATTTTAGAAGAATAGAAGAAGACAAAGAAAACATCAGAATAATGCTAATGGATAAGCACATTTCATGAACCCCAAAGATTCCAATAATGCTGGTGCTAGGTTACTGGGACTGAAAAACTGAAAAATGAATCCTCCTAGTGGCTACAGGTACTCTACCTGAAGATGATGTTAGCAAGAAATAATGGTCTTTAAAAAGGGAGAAACATACAGAGAAATAATCCTCTTCTCCAAAACCAGAAAATGAAAGCTTAGTTGTGGAGCCACACCAATGGTAATGCTGGCTTTCTCTCAGCATCCCTGGGCCTGCCTGGGTACATACGGCCCCAGCCCCTCTGCACAGCACTCCCCTCTTCCAGAACCACTTGGCACACTGGGAATTCCACGAGTCCTGGTGGGCGGTGTGGAAACAAGTTTGTTTCTCCTGGCCCTATAAAAAGCAGTGCTCTGGAATGAATTAATATCCCCTACTCCCCTAATAGTCCCACTATAAGGGTGTGCAGATGTCGAGTTTAGTGTGCTGGATACAAACAAGATACCCCCCAAATATAACTGAGTTGCAGACCACATCCACATCATCCAAATCTCTATGGGAAGTAAGACTGCAGGACTTTATCATTTAGCCAGTCTTCTCTTTAATAACACTGTATATCTGGACTGTGTTTCCCACCAGTAACCCAACTGCTACAGCAAATACAAATTTTATTTAGGCTATGTTGACATGACCTAGAGTTCCATCTTTAGCCATAACACACATGGTGAGAGAGAAAAGTTGACCAGCATTTGTTAGTGCTGATAGGATTTTATTCTAGTCTACATAAACACTTACCTCTTTTACGCTATGTGTTACCGCCCATATTAGAAAAACTCTTGACATCACCTGGAAAGAAGTCAGGACAACAGAAGATGGAACAATTCCTGAAAGATATTTTAGGATGGGTAAATAAACATATATTGTACCAAGTTTCAACATGTCATAAATTTTCTGAAACATTCGATTTTAACGTTTAGACATAAAACCATCTTGAGCAACTAAAACTTATCTATATTGGCATATAAACTGTTTTTCAATATTAAAAACTTTTTCCCTCCAAAACGAATACTGCTTTTTTTTTTCAAAACAATATTGTTAATGGCACAGCATACCACAGAATCTAGGTACCTTTCTCAAGCCTGTCAAAATCCCTAACCAAGTGCAATATAGTTTACACTTATCATATAGAGAAAGCAAAACCATTGCTTAACCTCTAAAATTAGACACTGAAAGGTCATTTTACAATATGGGTTTCAAAAATGAACAGGCACCTACGGAAGGGAAACCAACTGTATTTATATCTAATGAATGTTAGCAACTCCTGATATCGTATATACTGTCTATACTGTATTATTAGATACCGAACTAATAGTTATCTTCTATAATTTACTCAAATATTTTGCCAATAAGCATACCAAAATCAAAATTTGTAATCTATATAAGCCATTCCTCCTCACCTTGTTCATTACAGTAAGCATTGGTACAATTATCCTTCCAAAGTCTGAAAGTTGTAACACTGGAATCATCTTGAGTTATTTTAGATAATCATTAGATTCTGCTAAGTTTAGATTTCTTTGGCTTTCCCCTTCAATTCTTACAACTACAACCCCTATAGAAAGACGAGCCACCACCATTACAAAAAAACCCTTGCCTCCTTTAGGTCATCTTAGACCCAGCAATAAGCCAGTATCTGTAAGCCTCATTTTCTTGTTGTAACTTTATCCTGGCAAGGAACTGCCCCTCTAAAATAAAATCCAGAGGGGTGCCTGGGTGGCTCAGTCAGTTGGGCGTCCAACTTCAGCTCAGGTCATGATGTCACGGTTTATGAGTTGGAGTCCTGAGTCAGGCTTTATGCTGATAGCTCAAAGTCTGGAGTCTACTTCGAATTCTGTGTCTCCTTCTTTCTCTACCCCTTCCCCACTTGTGTTCTGTCTCTCTGTTTCTCTCTCAAAAATAAATGAACATTAAAAAAAAATTTTTTTTAATTTAAATAAAATTGGAAACAGAAGTATATGGGTACCCAATCCAGCAGCTCCACTACCCTCACCTCTGCCATTTCTCTCTGGCCTTACTGATAACAACAACTAGACTTACCAACTTTCTGCACCTTTCAAGTTACACGTGGGCCACCCTACACCTGACAGGAACTCTCATCATGGCTGCAGATCCTCCTTTCACTCTAAAACTAACCCATCTTTGGGGCATCTGGGTGGCTCAGTCAGTTGGGCGTTTGACTTCAGCTCAGGTCATGATCTCACAGTTCGTGTTTGAGTCCCACATCAGGCTTTGTGCTGATAGTGCAGAGCCTGCTTGGGATTCTCTGTCTCTCTCTCTCTCTGTCCCTCCACCACTCATGTGCATGCTCTCTCTTTCTCTCTTTCTCTGTCTCAAAAATAAATAAACATTTAAAAAATTAAAATAAAACCAACCCATCTTCATTACATCCACTGGACCATCCCAGACAAATTTTCATTCTTCTAAGCCTTCTAAAACATACTCAGACTTCTGAACATTTATAAAACAAACAACAACTTGCCAAAACTCTGTGTACAAATCGAAGATAAAATTGTCTCTATGGGTGTAGCTATGAAAGGAAATCACTTCACAACTCATTAAGAAAAAGAGATACTATATCCTGTTAGAATGAGTTTCTTGGAGAAGATTTGGGCTTTGGAGAGGAATGATTTAGTTTCCAAAAGCAAGTTACATGGACATGTCAACAATGCTTGCCATATAAAGATGCTCAATAAATCTTTGTAGAATGAATGAAAAAAAAATAAAGGTATGGACTTGTAGCCCAATAGATAGAGTCTAGTAATAAACCCTCACATTTATGATTCTTGATTTTCAACAAGTATGCCAAGACAATTCAGTGGAAAAATAACTGTCTTTTCAATAAATGGTGCTGGGACAACTGGACAAAAAATAAAAAATATAAATAAAAAATAAAAACAAAAAATAAAGTTAGAACACTTCCTTATACCATATAGAAAGAAATTAACTCAAAATGGATCAAGACCTAAATGTAGGAGTTAAAACTATAAAACTCTTAGAGGAAAAAAAGAAATGTGAATCTTTGTGATCTTGGATTAGACAATGGTTTATTAGCTATGACACTAAAAGCACAAGAAAAAATAAATAAATCAGATTTCATCAAAATTATGTGTGCTTCAAAGGATACCAACAAGAAAGTGAAAAGAGAACCCACAGAATGGAGAAAATATCCATGAATTGTATATAATGAAGGACTTATATCCAAAATAAAGAATTCTTACAATTCAACAATAAGAGAACCCAGTTAAAAAATGGGCAAAGAATTTGAATAGATATTTCTCCAAAGAAGATATGCAAGTGGATAATAAAGACATGAGAAGATGCTCAAATCATTACTCAACAGAGAAATGCAAGTCAAAATCATAATGAGATATACTTTGCTAGGTTGGTTATAATCATCAGATACATTATTACAGAGAATCGCAAATGTTGACAAGGATGTGGTGATATTGGAACCCTCACACATCGATGATAGGATTATAAGCTGGTGTAGCTACTCTGGAGAATGAACAGTGTGCCGGTACCTCAAAATGTTAAATATGGAATTACCATATGACTCATCAGTTCTACTCCTAGGTCTGTATATACCCAAGAAAAATAAAAAAATTGCTCACACAAACACCTGCAAAGAATGTTCATAGTGGTATTCATACTGGCTTCAAATCGGAAACAATAAAAATGTCCAACAACAGATGAATGGATAAATAGAATGTGGTAGAGCTATACAACGGAATATTAGAAATAAAGTAAATAAAAGTAAAACATAATGAATAATAAATAAAAAGAAATGAACCACTGATACATACTGTAATATTGATGAACTTTGAATACATGCTGAATGAAAAAGCCAGTGGATAAAAGACCACATGTTACATGATTCGGTTTATATGAAAAGTCCAGAACAGACAAACTATAGAGACAGAAAGTAAATTAGTGGTTACCTGGGGCTAGAAGGTTAGGAAGGGAACTGGGAATGACTGCTAATGGGTATTGGATTTCTTTTGGCGGTAATGAAAATGTTCTAAAATTGACTGTGGTAAGAGTTTGCACAACTGTGTGAATTCTGAATTGTATACTCTAAGTGGGGAAATTGTATATGTGAATTATTATATGAATAAAGCTTTTATAAAAAAGTTAATGTGTGAATTAACTACAAAGCCTGGTGATATATGTAATACTGCTAAAGAAGTTAGTCAAATATTAAGTGAATATACTTAGCCAGATTATATTATAGTTTACATTACCAGAAAAATTAAAGATCCATAATCAAAGGCTTTCCTAAGTGAGTTATTAAGCATTTACTACTTAAGGAAAGACCACCAGTATTTCTAGTTTTTTTTTAACTCAAAGACTAGCTCATCACATAAAAATATTATTTTCTCTTTCATTTCTGCTCTTTCTTCTTTTGCCAATGAAACAATGGGCTAAGACTGCTAATGGTCTGAAAAGTGCTTCAGGGTTGTTGCTGTATTTTAGTGGGAATCAAGAAGTTCAGGATCTGGAACTCAGATTTCCAAGTTCAAAAACCTAATTTTATCCCATTCGTGAGCAAAAATCAGGCTCTGGGAGACTGATTCAAGACTAATCAAATTCATAAGAGTCTAGTTAATAAACCAAAATGTCACTTTATTTACTTATAAGAGACGCACAGCCTTTGTAATAACTGAATGGTTGGGATTTCAGAGACCCTCATCTGGGGGCACTTTTTTCCTGCTGTCGAAATCAGAACGCTTATTAGTAAATGCAACTTCAACAGAGGGATCTGGTTGCCGTGAGGAGTGAATACTGAAATTCAGTAGGACCTGGGTATAATTAATTACCCCTTCTTTACTATAGAGTTCTTTTTCCTAGAGAATACAAAGATTTATACAGTTATATAGGTCTTCCCTTTGAAAATGCTAATCAAAAATTGTGATTGTTTTTCTTAAAAGTAAGTTTTAATAACCAAAAACATTTATTCCTTAGGTAATAAATGTTCCTGGTAAACATTTCCTACCAGTCTTTACTTCTAAGTGTATTTTTATTATTTTATTAAAAAATTTAATGTTTATTTTTGAGAGAGAGAGAAAACAGAGTGCGAGTGAGGGAGGGGCAGAGAGAGATGGAGACACAGAATCCGAAACAGGCTCCAGGCTCTGAGCTGTCAGGCAGAGCCTGATGCGGGGCTCAAACTCACAAACCATGAGACCATGACCCAAGCTGAAGTAGGATGCTTAACCAACTGAACCATTTAGGTGTTCTTAAGTGTATTTTATTTTTAAAAAAAATTTTTTTTTCAACGTTTATTTTATTTTTGGGACAGAGAGAGACAGAGCATGAACAGGGGAGGGGCAGAGAGAGAGGGAGACACAGAATCGGAAACAGGCTCCAGGCTCTGAGCCATCAGCCCAGAGCCCGACGCGGGGCTCGAACTCACGGACCGCGAGATCGTGACCTGGCTGAAGTCGGACGCTTAACCGACTGCGCCACCCAGGCGCCCCTTAAGTGTATTTTAAAATACAGTTCAACTTCTATTATTTGTACTCTGTAATTTGCTTTCTCACTTAACATTTTAAGAAAATTTCTTACAACATATTCTCCAAAATATTTTAACTTGAGTCATAAGATTCCTTTGAACAGAATATATTTGTTTATCTATTCTCCTTCTGTAAGACATTTAAATTGCTCTAATTTCTTGATATTATAAATGAAGTAATGAAGTATTACAAATTATACTTAAAAATTTCTGAGGTTTAGAACTTTTTTTTTTTTTTTTTTAAGGATTATTTCCTTGGGATAGTTCCCAGAAGTAGAACTACTAGGTCAAATGCTATGAATTCCTTTAAGGCTC